CCCCCCCCCCCCCCCCCCCCCCCCTTTTGCACACTGAGAAAAAAGCATTGCCCTCGGTGTTTGCTTCCGGGGGAACAATGTGGGGTCCTTTTGGGAGACGGTGGCAAATGTTTTAACCGCTAAGGCACCCAAAAAATAAGGGTACCCCCCCCCCCCCCCCCCCCCCACGATTACGGCATGCACGACTGTGAGTACCCCCCCCACCCCCCCTCGGCCTTGTTTGCCATCGGGGTTTGGGTTTTCGTCGCTTGGCAACGACGTTGTAAAACAAGCCGCCCCCCCCGGTGTTTCCCCCACTCGGTGTTTGCCATCGGGATTGGGTTTTCGTCGCTTGGCAACGACGTTGTAAAACAGGCCAATTCACTTCGTGAACTCGGCAACCAGGTTACCGTTTTTTTTTTTTTTACCTCGTTTTTTTTTTTGGCGGTAACCATAATGGTGGTCGAGTAGATCATGTTGTGCGGGGTCGAGAAACCTCACTCCGCGCAACGGGGGATGATCGCACCACGTTGTGTTAAAATGGTCAAGCTTCCTCGAGGCAGTTACACAGCGCTTACAACTGTCTCTGGAAGTGAAAGCACCAGAAAATAAATTAAGTCACACGTAGCTGTCATCCGTACGCAAGGAAGTAAGCACAAGATGCCGAACACCCTTAGCAGGATGCAGCTCACCCTTCATGTGACTCGCCAAATACCTCACGGTGCTTCGCGCTTGGTGATGTGAGAGCCTGGTCCGGTGAAAACCCGGCGTGCTCCGTCCCGGCTTTGTAGGGATGCGAGGTCAATGGTCTAACGACTACGGCATGCACGACTATGAGTGCACCCCCCCCCCCCCCCCACGAATGCTCCGTTGTCTCGAGGACGCGTGGCCAATGGTCTAACAAAAAAGGCGAAAAAACATGAGAGTACGCCCTCCCCCTCCTCCCGCTGTTTGCGAAACCCAATCACTACCCTACCCTACTGCTGCACACGCACATGGCAGGTACCACAGCTTCCGGAGGTTCACGCGGCCAGGCGGAGCCCGCCGGGGACCGTTCGTTCCCATCCCCGTCCGGGAGGAGGCGTGGTCCTCGATGCGTCTACGCGACTACGTGCGGTGGGTACCCCCCCCCCCCCCCCCCCCTCTTCCGGGGTTGGTTCTCGCGGCGGGGCACCCCCACAGAAAAATGCCTGCCTGCAACGACAAATAACCTGTCTTCCTCTCACTGTGTGGGGTAACTGATCCCCTCTTGGACGTTGGAAAATTGTGCGCTTGAATCCTGACCGTGCGTGCTGGTTCCTCTTGATCCTCCTGGTTTTCCAAGCGACCGTGCGTGCTGGTTCTTCTTGATCCTCCTGGTTTCCACGCGCCATCGCAGCAAGCGGGGGGAAAACCCTCTTCCATGTAGTGCTAACTCCGCCGTTTCAATGAAGTTGGCCATTTTTCCGGGAACTGCTGCTGTGGCCGTAGCTTGTTTTTTTCTCCCGACATGTCGCTAAAAAGTCAGATCCGCTGCTCGAAGCGAAAAAAGAAGCCGTGTGGTACCATTCCCGTCTGTTTTCGACGCCCAGGTACCTCAACAAGCTAGCCGACGCGAAGCGGGCCAGGGCCACCGCCACGGCTGCCGCCGCCCCAGCCGATGAAGCACCGTCAGCGGCGGCGGCAGAACCGGGGCAGCCGGATGCCTCCGTGCCGGGGCGAAATTCTGGCAGTGTAACGGGCGGTGTCGAAAACGGTGGCAATAGTGGAGGGCGGTCGGGGGGAAGAGGTCGGGCCGGCGCTAAGGCGGGCTCCCAGGAAGAATGTCGTCGTCGTCGGCGGCGGCGGCGGCGGCGGCGGCAGCAGCAGGAGGAGGAGGAGGAAGAGGAGGAGCAGGAAGAGGAGCAGGAGGAGAAGGAAGAAGAAGAACCAAGCATGCGGTTCATGAGCTACGACGGCAACAATCGGACGCTGGAGCTGCTGCGGGAGGCGGTGTACCTGACTGACATGGATTTGACGAGGTATGCACTGCATGGCCTTGATGGAAGTAGACGAGCCGAGATAGCGTTTGTCTGTTCGGGGGCAACGGTTGATGGAGGGTTTGCGCGAACAGTTTCATCCAGCGGCCACGCGTCGCCCCTTGACGGCGGAGGAATTAGAGCAACGATTGTTGATACTGTTACGTACGTACCATGACAGTGATGCGTCGACGTCATGTCGGGTGTCCCTCAAAAGGATCTACGGTATCGACAGCTCGCGGGACGTTTGTTGGGAGTTAGGGTCGACCAAGAGGTGGTGTGATGCTTGGGGCATACAGGTGGTGGATCAACCAATAACGGCGCGATGTTCTGTGTTTTGGTCGGTTGTACAACGTGGTGTGACCGGATGTCTACTGCGTTGTTAACAGCTGACTTTTTCAGGATTTTTCCGTTCTCCCTCCTCTCATTGGTGGTCTTGTTCTTGTCTGTCTGTCTGTCTGTCTGTGTGTGTGTCTCTCTCTCTCCCTCTCTCTCTCTCTCTCTCTCTCTCTCTCTCTCTCTCTCTCTCTCTTTCTCTCTCTCTTTCTCTCTCTCTCTTTCTCTTTCTCTCTCTCCCTCTCTCTCCCTCTCTCCCTGTCTCTGTCTCTCTCTGTGTATGTGTGTGTGTGTCTCTCTCTCTCTCGCTGTCTCTCTCTCTCTCCCGTCCCCCCCCTTCCCCCCCCTGGACACAGGTACCTCCCCGAGTGCGCGAACAACCTCAGCCGCGAGTTCAAGATGGACATCCTTCCCGCGGGAGCGAGGTGTGCTATGCAGCACATGCCTCGCGAGAGCAGGACTTTCATGGGACCCAACCTCTACATAACACCCCCGGGAAGGTGAGGTAGACGGCAGACGACAGAGGGGAGGGGAGAGAGGGAGGGGATGCTCGTTTTGTGTTATGTTTGTGAGGTAGCGTCCTGCGTATTCGGGGCGTCAGACTGGTAGGGCAAAGAAAGCTTAATCGTGGGTTGGGTTTGTGGGCTATCATCCCATCATATCAGCCGAGAGAGGGGGAGAGAGAGAGAGAGAGAGAGAGAGAGAGAGAGAGAGAGAGGCGAGAGGAGAGACACAGGAGGATCGCGAGTGCCAATGCGCACTCGCACTCGCTCGTGACCTCTCTCTCGATCCCATGCAAGAACCTGTTGGCCACATGTGTTTTGGTTGCTATTACTACTACTGTCCGAGGTAAGTCTTGTTTCCTGTTGCTGTGGTTGCTGTTGCTGTCATTGTTGTTGTTGTTGTTGTAGTAGCTGTAGCTGCTACTGTTGTTGGTCCACTTGCAGAGAAACGATCGTTTCTGTCAACGGCGCGGTGAGCCAGCCCATTCACACCTCTCCTCAGAAAAACCTCCCACCGACTGCTGTCCTAACAGTGCTTTCCTTTTTCCTCTTGGACAACGAACGCACCCAGCTGGACACAGTGCCACCAGGACGGCAACGGTACCGTGGACTCCGGACACCAGTGCCTTGCCGGGAGGAACCGGGTCATCATGCTCCGCCGGCTTGATCGGGAGGAGGACAAGCGTGCCGCGCTCAGGATACTCGCGGGGGGCGAAGAAGAAGAAGCAGCAGCAGCAGCGGAGGTACGGTCGTGCTCAATCTTTTTTTTTTTTTTGCGATTTTAGGTACCCAAACTTTTCTTCCTCTCTATTTTCAGTATAAAACCAAAAATGACAACAAAAATACAAGGCAAAAGCCTTATCGGGGTGACGACGGCGCGGAGCAGGCAAAATGTCGCTCGGACGGACGGCTCTGTCCGGTGTTGTCTATCCCTCTGTGAGGTTGTGGACCTTATGAGCGTTCGGCAAAGATGCCCTGCCCGGTGCTTTATATTGCGTCCGTCCTTTCGAGGTTTGGACCTTATGAGCGTTTGACAAAGAGGATGCACACGAACTCCCCCCCCCCTCCTTCGCGGGCTGGGGGGGGGGGGGTCCATCATGCAGGGCTGGCCCTTGACTGGGTTGGCCAGAACGGATTGACTGTACATCTAATGTATGGTACAAGGCCCCCTCGTGTGGTCTCCAGCTGTGCCGCGTCATGATGATGGACTGGTCGTCCAGCCTCTATTGGACCAATTTCAAGGTTCAGGGTTAGGCAGGGCTTGACAACTCTGACCTAAGTCATGGGTTCGTTCACAAGGGGGGGCGCGCGAATACCCTTCGGCGCAGTACATGTGTGTGTGCGTGCCTGCCACCGCCTCTTTCAGCCAATCGACCCCCCCTTTTTTTTTTAAGCGTGTGGCAAGTTATATGCGGGTCTGACACCCGTCCTTGCGCTACTCGAGCCTTTTTTTCGAAACAAGCGGCTGGATTGAAGTTGTTTGCTCCTCGCCGACGGTTTCAACCCGGATGATGACGGCGAACAACGAGGGCAGTGAAAGCGACGAGCCCGACGCAAGTAATCTAAAGGAGTGCCCGCGCAGAGCGGCATCTTGCGGTTGGCTGGGGATCCGAACTCAATCGAAGATGAATCCTGCAAGTCTGGACTTCCTCTGTCTCTTTCTGTCTGTCTGTCTGCTGTCTATCGGTCTGTCTCGGTCTCTGTCTATCTCTCTCTGACCTTAGCATACGTTCGCCAATTAATGCCTTGCACGCACATAGACAAGGCGGCTGCCTCCACAAGACGAAGAGGGGCGGTACCCACGGCCTCCTCCATCGCGTCCCCCTCCTCCTCAAAGTATATCGCTTTGCGCCCTGCCCCCCCCTTCCCTCCCACTTGCCGTAGATGAACGGGGACAAACCAGGAACGCCCGTGGTCAGTCACGCGGGAGCGACCGGAGCGGGGGAGGGGGAGGGCTCAGCGGCGGCGGAGAAGGAAGACGAGGAGGAGGAGGCTGCTGCGGCGGCAGCGGTAGCGGCGGAGAAGGAGAGAGACAGCTTGTTCAGGATGCCACACTGTGACGGGGCGACGCCGCCGTGGCCAACGGACGAAGCCGTTGAGCGGCTCCGTGAGGTCGGTCAGAGTAAGAAAGAGGGGGGGGGGGTGCCGCCTGCCCACGTTTGAGCACCAGTCCCCCCCCCAAGCTAGCGTGTGAGGTTGCATGCTACGGCAGTAGTAGTGCCACGCGGGGATGGGTATGAACACAACGGCAAGTATCCCCGAAACAAGCGTCAGGTTGCATGCACCGCGGGAAGTCACGCAGGAATGGGAGGGGGAGAAAAGGGGGAAAAATTGCGGGTTGTTTCGGCGGTGGGGATGGGAGGGTACACTGGATTGAGTGTTTGTCAGGGCGCGGGTTGCTGGTTGTCCTTGGCGTGCCGACAGTAGATCGATCGTTTGTACGTGTGTTTTGCGTGCGCGTTTTAGTGTTGTTGTCTTCTGTGCTTTGTATCAATCATTCTGCGGTACAGGCTGCTTGTCTTGACTGCGTTACTCTTGCCTAGCTGTTTCCGAACTGCTGTACGTATGCCATTTTTTGTTTCTGTTTTTTGCTTGTGCCGTCGTTCGCGTGATGCCTGTCTCGTTCTCGCTTGTGGGCAGCAGCCGTTGAGTCTGTCGGCGGCTCTGACCTGGGTCACATTCCCCTCTTCGCACACCTGCCTGCATGTCTCCCTCGCACACGCAAGGCACCTCCCCCTCACCACCGTCTACGTTTTCTGTCGCCTCCTACACTTGTAACGTCTGTCCGTCCGCGCGCATTTGTTTTTGGCGTTGATCCCCCTCCCCCCCGCCCCCCGCCATAAGATGTGCAAGAAATTTTTATGGAGTTTGTGGCAGAAACGTAAAGAGCTCCCAAATGTTGGTGGTGTCTCTAGTAATAGGTGTAGGAACGGTGCTCCGTCTCGAAAGGGACGCGTGGTCAATGGTCAAATGACTACGGCAAGCAACAAATGAGTACGCCCCCCCCCCCCCCCCCCCA